AATATATATATATAAAAATATAAAAAAGTGTCCTCAACTATGTCATGTAATTACTGTAAACATACTAATTTTTGTGAAAAGAATGCTGTATTGGAATAATCATAGTTGTTTCTTGGTGTAAGTTACAGCAAGTGATTTGAATGTTTGTATTAAATCTCTTAACATGGGAAATGCTGACACTAAAACGAAGGAACATTTGCGATGGCTTGGTGTGATAGTGGTCATGTCGTAGTTTTGACAGAAACAAGACAGAAAGCAGGTAGGTGTACCTGCTGCTACTTACAGTATTGTAAATAAACGAGTTTAATCTTGCAGAAGCTGTATTCAGGATCATCTTGCATTAAAATATCAAATGGGTAATCTATTTCTCTGCCTTTTCACAAAATTTTAATGAAGAGCTGTTATGGGAACAATGCATGTTCTTTAGTCGTAGGCATATATAGTATCAGAGATGCAATTGTCAGATCATAGCTTTGAGTAAGCATGTAGAGCTCATCTGCACATGTAGAGCCCGCAGCATAAAGAAGCAGATGTGTCTCCACAGCCAGATGGAGCATATGCCAGGAGACAAGTGTAACAGTGTGGGGAGCATAAACAGAAAAGTTGGTGTTGAAACACTGTGTTTATAAACCAAAAGGTTTTTGGTTGTTTTTTATCCAGTTTTCTCCAACTCCCCAGCATTGCTTCTTTTCTATGGATTACCAACATATATTTTGAACTGTTATTGGTGTATCATATTGTAGAGTAGTTTCTTAACCATGGGATGTTATGGTATTTTGGTAGCACTTGAATTGTTTCATAGCTTCTCCTTTTAAATTTGGGTGAACTTGATATGAAATCGAAGGTCTGGGAATTGTATCTCAGTATCCATGGATGCACACATACAAAATCAGATGAGAAAGATGTTCAGTTAATTGATCCGATTTTCTTCCTTGATGAGTACCTGGTATATCCAATCCAGATACGCATTTGGCAAACAATTTGGGCTTCCATACTTCGCTATTCAAAGCTAAAAAGTAAGATGGTGGAAACTGGATCACATCCTTCAAAAATATATTTCTTTGAAATGTTTTATGAGAAAAGTTACATGATAAGGTTTTAAACGTATTTTTAAAAAGGAAGAGAGTGCTCTACAACCAGCTTCAGTTGAAAATGAAAACTGATGCTTAATGTAGGTGACTAAAATCTCCAAATTTACATGAAATATCAACACAGCTTTGTAGAACTGAGATAGAGCTGAGAGGCGATACCGTGGATGTTGATGGTTAGACGCACACTAGAGCGAGATTGTAGGAAGGTTGACAATGCCCGTTAGTTAATGTTTTGCATTCCTTCGTATTTGATAGATGGAGAATTGCCAGAAGTGGGCTACACTTTTGGGGGTGGGGAAAGAAAGAGAAAGGAAAAGGCTTTGAGCTGGTAGAAGAATACGTATGAGTACTATGCGTAGTATTACCATGTGCTTTTGTTGTTCGGATCACTTGCTTTGGTCTCCAAATAGCATGGACCACACTGGAAGTAAGTGGTATCCATTTAAAAGAAGGAAGAAGCTTAAAAATTATTTCAGTGAGGTAAGGAAATGACTTTGTAATCTGCTCATGATGCTGAGAAAATGTAGGCATTATTGGACTTGATTTGCTAAATGATTATGTAAATGTAATTATACTGCATATAACATTTCAAATAATTTGAGATGGCGCACAAATGCCTTTGAGACATTTTAAGGAGGTGATTGAGGAGGATTTATGTATGGTTAAGGACTAAAATCTCACTTTTAGTTTACCTTTAAAAAGAGAGAAAATGCATAAAAACTGAAGTGGTTTGGAATATGATTCATCAAAACCTTAGATATATAAAAATATATATTTGTGTATATATATGTATGGTAGCTTGAATCTATTTTTTTTTTTCTAGTAGAAGCATTTACTGTAAACCTGGCTTGTAAACGGGTTATGCTTTGGGGTTTTATTTCCCTCTCAGGTTTCAGGAAGAAACAACTTCCTTGAAAAGTTAAAAATGTGATCAAGGTAGCAAATATTTATTTTTAATATAGCAACAGAAGACACCTCTGTAGTTTGTGCTGAGCAGAACAGTTACCACTCGTAATGGTGTCTGTCTCTTCTTTCTCCCCCCTTTTTTTTTTAATTTTGGAGATTAAGTTCAACACTTAATCCCCAAAGTTGTTTTATTTGACCTATTTACTGTTATCATTAATTTTTTCCATATTTTACATTTGGTAATATTGTTCTACTTTAAAAAACTTTTTAAAATTCTTTGACTATGCTGAAATTACTTTGGGCGTACTGGTGACTAATGTTGACATGCTTTTTTTTCATGACAGATTGTTGGTGACTTTAAGAAAGCTGACAGTGCTGGAAAGAAGTTTGTGTTTAGTTAATGCCATTTTGCACTCCTTCATTTCTGATATATAAAGAATTGCCAGAAGTAGGATAGACTTAATGTGTTTTTTTTTTTCTTTTTAAACAGCTTTGGCTTACCTGCAAATAATCTAAAGCTCTACTTTCCTCATGTCTAAACCAGTGATTAAATTTAGTGTTTTAGGGTTAAGAACACTAGATTTCTGCCTCTTAAAACATGGCTGGTGCTTTAAACTTACCATGCTGTGCTGTTATTCTGAATTTTGATGAATTCCAGCTTTAGTCACTAATTAAAGCATATATATATATACAGCTCTGAAGTTTGTTTAGAATAAAAACTTTATATATCAAGATGCAAAGTCTCTTGCTAATAAAGGTTGTGCTTAACTGTTGCATTACCACTAGTAATTTTATGTAGTTCCAGTTCAGATTGCTGTCTGTCCTATGAGAGTCCTATGACAGTTATACCAGTGAGATTATCTTAAAGCTGTAAAATGAAATTTCCTGTCATAATGTTATTTTTTTAATAAACTAACAAAAAAAGCTGATTACTTAATGATGAACGACGACTTACTTGACTGTACATCAGAATCTCAAATCTAATCTAATCAGACGGTTCTTCAGGAGGCTGTGCTGCTGTGAGGACCAGAATCTTAAATCTATGTCAAATACTAGGAGAGGGCCTTTGTACGGGGCCTTTGTACAGTACCTGTGTACTGAAAACTCTGCAGAAGCAACCCTGCAATAGGTGATTTGGATATATTTTTAAAGAACCACGATAACTTTGTGTTTAATCTAGAAGACTCACCAAGAGTTTGAGTTGGTCATAATAGCATGTTTTCCTCTTCGAGAAATTTTTCCCCCCGTTTATGTTAATCTGTCTTTAAAGGGGAATGAATGATATCATAGGTCCAAATATCATTAGTAAAAAGGAAATACCAAAATTTTTTTCTGTCCTCATTACAAGCTATCAGTGATTTGACCTGGTTGTCGTAATGAAATGGTTAATTGTCCTGAAAGCTAGATGCTTGGCCAGTGTTTTAAATTCTGTTTGTAGACCAGAGATAATTTATTCCCCTCTTCCTTTTCCACCACTTTCTTACAGTTACCTGATGAGAAACCATAGTTAATATACTAAACTTTCTCCCGTCTTCTCCTTCCTGCCTCCGTCAAATGCTGTTAACTTTTTTCCTGAATTTGTCATGAAACTCAAAATAACAATAATTAGATGTAGCTTAATAGATATAGTAAATGAATTGTTACAAGTTACAGTCTGGAAGAAGCAAGTTCTAAGCAGAGCTGGAGTAGTACTTGTTGGGGGAATTTAGGCAGCAATTTTTCTGAGCACAGATAACAGTTTTCTTTAAAATTATTTAAAGCATGGCTTGATTCAGTTCCCATCACTACCTGTGTATGTAGCTACAAGCTACTTATAATCAGTAAAGTTCCCAGAGACGTGCTTTAGTTCTTAGAACAGTTCTGAAGGTGACAGACATGACTATGGGCATGACTGTTCGGTGTCCTATTCTGCCGGTCAGTGGTATAAGCCTGTCATTGGAATCCTAAAGTGTACACTATATCTAAACAGAAAGTAATACTATTTAAAGGTTCTTTCCTCAGTTTCTAGTGGTAACATGAATTGTTAATATTCCAGTTTGGATGATGTAAGAATTGTGTAAGTTTCTCGTTGAACTCCAAACTTAGTAACCATCAAAGAAATAGCCAACAATGCTAATGAATATTTTGGATTCTAATTATGTAATGTTAACTGCTTTTAGTTCGTGTCATTTTTGTGCTTTCCTTTGCAGTTTGCATTATCTAGATGAAATTGGAATAAATCAAAATATTCAACAGCCCAAAGCAGTAAAAGGAAAACTTGTTTTCACTGTACCAGTGTAACTTACTAGGATGAGGTTTGAATGAAGAAACTTTTGCTTTTGCTCATTTTACTGTAGAAAACTTGGGCTATTGTGCTTTTGAATGAGGCCTTATCATGTAAAACTTGCTATTAGGTGGAATCTGTGTAAATTTTTTTTTTTAGGTTATGGCTATTGTTAGTATTTTTCATGTGTTTCCTACGAAAACTAACATTGACTTTGGTTTATGTTGCAAGTTAGGAGATAGTAGTACTATATTTACTCCACCCTTCCTCACAAATCTTTATTAAAATATAAACTTTGAACTGTAGAAGCTAAAATGTGCCAACTATTCTAGACAATTGTAAAATAAAGATGCACGTTAAGTGGGGTAACTAAGAGTGTTTTGAGAGATTGTTTAAGGATCCATCTTGCATCTGGGATTCTTTGGCCCATGAGAGTTTGTTGGAGTGATTCCTACATCCTACACATCTTACTTGCCATCGTCCTTTAGAAGCAAAGGGTGATTAAGGCTCCATGTTTATATATTTGTTTGTAGTACAGATTTGAATAGCACATTCCAAAGAATCAAAACATAATGAAAGCAGCTATTTTTAGAAAATATTGCGTATAGCTTCTGTTCTTGGTGAATAACACATACTTCTCCTTTTCTTTGGAGTCTGTTTTTAGTATTTATTTAAATAGGTGCTCCCAGTCAGCGACATAAAAACAGTGATTCTCCTCCGTTGTGAAGTCCTGTATTTATTTCCCAGCTGTGCAAGTGATGTTTTTCCAACTGATTCTGCAGTGTGTTTGGAGAATGTTTTTATTTTTTAAATTTATAGCGCAGACACACAAAGTCCAGTTCTCACGCCCACTGCTTGGGAAATGCATATCAAAGATCCAGTTCTGGGTTTAGCTATTCTGGAGATGTTGTGTTAAGTAGGATTGAAAATTGACTCCAAGAAAACCTGTAACAGCTCACTGCTTGTTAATGGTGGAGTTCATGCAGACAGTCACACAAA